TTGTAGAAAAAAATTAAAAGTCATAGAATGTAATCGCAATCGTTTGGTCAAAATTGGATGGTTGATAGCCTTTAGGCACATGGGTGAAATTACTGTATCATTTGCCCATGGGTGTTTTGTAAGGATTGTCTCTCTCTCTCTCTCTCTATATATATATACTCTCTATATATATATATATAGAGAGAGAGAGAGAGAGAGAGAGAGAGAGAGAGAGAGAGAGAGAGAGAGAGAGAGAGAGAGAGAGATGTATGGGAAAAGTTTATATACAGCCTAGGCTCTAAACAATCAAATTAGAGCCTACCTCAAAATTTTCACTAGAAGAGGTTGTTTTGATGCCCCAAATATCATCAAATTGATCATCTCGACATCAAGATGCATGGACATGAGAAAAAAATGGATTTCAAGTTTGGAAATAATGCATCTTGTAATGCATTTTTGGACCGTCAATTTTCAAGTTTTCATAGATCTACTCGATCTACACTATTTTTGAAGCTTTAAATTTTATAACTAAAGATGAAAATATAATTTAAGGCTATCACAAAACGTTTTGGTATTGAAATCATATTTCTCGACACTATTTGAAGGTGGGCTCAACTTGATTGTTAGAGCCTCGGCTCTATACAAAATGCACCCTATATATAAATAGCACCTACTATATATATATATATATATATATATATAGAGGAAGCATCTACGCAACACCTATGGGTGAAATGCTACAGTGATTTCCCCCATAGGCCAATCGCCATCCGAAAAAATTAGACGGCGTTTGTTTTTTGACCACCACGGGCCTACCATGGACATGCTTGGTCCGTGGTGGTCCAAAAATTCACACGGAACTGCAATGAATGGCGTCGTCCGTTGTGGGTCTGTTCAATAAACCGCCACGGACATAGCAAGTCCGTGACCGAGGCGGAACATTGTAGCATTTCTCCTATAGGCGTTTTTTAGGTTGTATAGATGTGTTGGGTCTCTACTGGATTTTTGGGATGACATACTAGACACTTGAAACATGTACTAAATACGATACCTGTGTCATCCGTGTAGCACTGTATAAAACTAATTGGTTTTATTTCAACTTGTTTCGGCCATGGCATTCATTGAACTTACTTTTAGCCATTGCATTGTTTTTTGTCGATTGCCATAATTCTTTTGCATTTCTATGTTGTTCAGGCACTTTATAGAGTCTATGTGAGAGAGTATTCAAAGTCACCCCTTACAAGTATGTTCATTTTTCAACTATTTATCATAAGCTTTCTTTTAAGGACAGTATGTTATCGGGTACCTTCTTGTTTTCATCTTGAATTGTACAATAGTTTCATGGAATTTAATAAACAGAAAAGCTGCTTTAATACTAATTGTTAGACCTATTAATTAGTAGAAATGAATTTACTGCTATTTGATTTAACAGATAATCTTGAATAATATGCTTTACTTGAAATCAATCTTAACACTTAAAAAAAGGCATGTAACCAAGATTCTTTACTTCACTTGATTAAACTCGACTTCACAATATTTTCCTTGCCTTCTGTCACCAACCTGTAATAAAATCATAACTACGATGAAACAAATAGAACAAACTCATCAAGTATTTGTCCACAATTGTAGAGAGTGAGTGAGTTGGTGGTGCGGTCCTTAATAATCTCCACAACCTTGTGCATAATTGTAGTTAAGGAAACCCTTAAGAGAAAGGTCTGCTGTAAGCCATAAACAGAGAGAAAGAAGAGGACAAGGGAGGGGAAAAGAATAGATTATGGGAAGTTGAAATTAGTTGCAATTCTAAAGAGAGATAAATGGGGAGCGGAATCAATACGTAAATATTCCTTATGTCTTTTGTGGGCTTGTCTATCACATCAAGGGGGATCAAATGCCTATCTCAGTTTAGCCACGAAGGAAAACTAGAAGCGAACGACCGGGTATGCAACATAGAGAGCATGTGAGGCTTACTACACCATGCTAAAATCCCTTGCCCTTATATGGGATTGATTTTTTTTTTGTTTTTTCGGGAAATTGTTGATCGCACTATATAGATAGTAGCAACTTGCAAAAGTTGCTATATGTATAAAAATGGGCTGAAATGCCTGCTGTGTACGATAAACAGCATTCTCAATAATTGCTGAGAAAGATGGCACATAATGAAATGTAAAGGAATCTACAAGATTGTCGCTTGCACTCCTGCAAAACTTGTGTTCTCTCCTTGCTTTCCACCTTGCTTGGAGTTGGATATTGTAGATTGTGCGCTGGAGGTGGTGGTGGCGGCTTGTGTGGAAAGGTTAGGAGGGAGGATAAGGCTGTGTTAATTGAGATCGTAAGTTGCTGATGGTGTCTATGAACCACTAGTTATGCACTTAGCACACCTTTCTTTTCCAAACTGACTGCCTCAGAGTGAGCCTCTCTCTCCACATGTTTGAATGTACAACACATCCGGCTGGTCATTGCTGAGATACTATCAAAGAAGGCTTGCAAATGTCATGGGGCTGAGGCTGAATTGGAAACCCAAAAAACATTTTGGCAATCTCCTTTGTAGTATATAGGACCTCAATTGTTGTCAACAAACTTTGAGCCTTCTAAATAATGCATGAGCCTCCACATTCAAAAAAAAAAAAAAACCAAAAAAAAAATGCACGAGTCTCAGCATGATGTAGTTGGCAGTTCCAAGGGGCTTGAGAAAGTGAGCAGTACTTGGGATTGGTTATTTCGGAATATATTTCCTCTAGGACTTTCTTGGTTTGTCAAGAGCAGTGTTCGAAAATTCCCCTGCCCGACCCTACTAGGCGGAAATTTTATAAAAACGAGTAGGCACTTGCTAGGCCGGGTTTATGCGTCTTGTGTCTTGGTGCCGGCCTAGGCGGGCAACGTGTGCCCCCTAGGAGCTACAATCTGGGCTCCTGCCTAGGCGCTGCCTCATGACAGGTTGAGAAAGCACGGAAAATGGGTCTCGTTTACGATTAAAAAAACCTATTTTTCCCCCCTAAAAAGGGGGAAAAAGGGTTTTGGGGGGTATTCTAAACCCCAAAACCAAAACCGTGGTTTTTAGGCTGAGAAAAACTCCCCCAAAACCACTCTTTTGAGATTTATCGAAAGATCGATAACTTTTTGATTTTTTCGTTTTCTTCCCAAACAAAGGCAATAGTTCATGGGTGGATTTGGAGCTTCTAGTAGTTAATTTCGAGGACTTTTGACGACCCAATAGATGAGGTTTGCACCGACATTGATTTGATTTTGCTATTTTTAAATTATTAACATATTTGAAAGAGGGTTTTGATTTGATTTTGCTACGATATATTATGTTGTGAATCATGTGTTTTTTCTCTTACTTTTTTTCTTTTACGATATATTTACATGTGCATAGTTAAAAGATTGATTTTTTTTGTGATTAATTGAATTTTTCTTACTTGGACGATGAAATTGAGCATATATCATATTCTTTTATAAATAGTTGAATCCTTTTTTGTACAGCGTGTCATGTTTTGATATTTTATTATTTTTATTTTACTTTATTTGATAAACAATTGATTACGTGATATCTTAATGAGTTAAGTTTCATGTGAAAGTGAAACTAAGATCTCATATAGTCATTTAAATCTTATTGTAATTTGTAAAGTAATAGTAAATGTATTAATTCTTTAATCTTATGTAGTTTACAAGTTTGTTGATTAGGTGATTAGTTCTGATTCAATTGATTGATACTCAAATCAATTATTATTCTTTGATCAAATCTGTTGTGTGATTGTACTATTACATTTTCGTCTATTTCATGAGGAGTTTGGGGCTCTAAAATTGCCTTGCCCTAAAAACTCCGTAAGGCTTAAAACCATGCCCTAAAAACTCCCCTGTTTTGTTTGTTTTTTTTTTTTTTGGGGGGGGAGAGGGGGTTACAATTTTGGTGAGGGAACCCCGTCTTTGGGCGGGCGCTTAGGCGGCCAGGCACCCAAAATGCCTAGGCCGAATCCACATTTTTGAACACTGGCCAAGAGAAGTGGCCTGGAGCAGGATAAGGAGGGGAGAGATGGGCCAAAAACACTTGTTCAATTGGTATTGGTGTGAGTCTAGTCCCCAACAATTAAGCAATGAGGTCCATATCTTTTTGGCTTTGGTATAATGCAAGAAAAGGTGATCGGTGGTTTCATTCTCTGCCTTTCACATAACATACCTATTGGGTAGAAGGATGCCTTTATGCTGTAATTGATCACAGGTCTTGACCTTGTTGTACACAATGTATATCTACTGTGGTGTTAGAGCAAATTATAATAAAGGAAAAAAAGAAAAAAAGAATTGCAAAGGCATCAAAGTGATGAAATTGAGGTCAAAAGCCAATTTTCAGAGAGAAACTACTGCCTGGTAATATCTTTCTTCATATCCTCACCATCAACTCATACTTTCTTGGTGGCAAAATGTTGATTAAGTTTGCCACATTATCAGTTCTGAGAGGGGATGTGTGATATTCAAATTGGAGTTTTATGTCATATCTTGTGGCTAGTCTAGTTAGTAAGTGGCATTGAATGGAGGAAGAACATTTTACCATGTGTTATTAAGCTGTGACCATTTGATTCTTGAGATAATTTAATCATTTGACCTATAGCTTGTATATAATTGATCATTGGTGTTTAAGTGGACAGATGTTCTTCCTTTCCGCTAAAGTACTGTGATAAAACAATTACACGGCTTGGTGCTCTTTTGCTTATTTATATGAGAAGTTGCTATTCCTACTGGGTAATCTCTGTCAATAATAACTATTCTAACTATTTTGGTAGTCATGTATGCCATCTTGCAGTGATTTTTACAATACACTTTTAGTGCCATGCATATGATATCATGTGACATTTTACACACATGCTATACCCTCTTTAGTTTACATCATTGAGCTACACTGTATTCACTCAAGGGAAGTATATTATAGTCCAATACACCATGGTTGTCCGCAGTTTATTGTATTATACTATAGTTTTCCTTCAACTAATTGCTGCTTAAAATGCTCTCCATTGTTTCTATTTGAATAGAGGTAACAAAGGGGAGCATCCTGCTGGAAGTACTGGGTTAGAAAATCCTTCTGAAACAAACATACCTATAGGTACCACTGACGAGCATCTTCAGGTTCCTGATTCATGTGTTTCGGAGACCAATGCAGATGATTCAGGTACTTCATTACTAACCTTTACATTTTTTCTGCAATAAATTAGTATTTTACTTATCATCGAAAGAAAATCCATGAATTGTTCAGGGGGCATTCCTGTGCCTGAAAATGCTGGGGAGTATACAAATTCACATGCTGAAAATTATACACAGTTGTATAATCAATACTTGGAGCTTGATAAACAGATGAACGAGGTTCTAAATGAGCTCTATCACTCAAATTACTGGAAATATTCAGTGTCAGGTCAGGAATCTCGTACTTCTACGCTATGGAATGCAGGTGATTCGTCCCATTATGCTACCATTCAAGGAGAGCAGCCTTGTTCCTGTTACTGTCTTGGTGCCTATTGGCCTTTGAGCCCGCCTTATATCCAATGTCAATCTGTTGGTAAAAGCAATACTCATTCATGTCAACCAATGATGACAAAAAACGCTCTGAAGCCATCACCTCCTATGGATGATAATGTAGTAAAGAAGGTGATGGGGGCAGCTGAAAAGGTGATTCCATCTACAAAAACAAAGGTTTCTGTGCCCTCTAATGCTTGTGAAGGTGAGACTGATTATTCTTGCTTGTTTTTACTACTTGTGGTGTTTGTCATAGATGTGCATCTCATTTAGAGTACCAGCAGAACCATTTTTTTTATAGATATGAGCTTCTGATGAAAATATCAGAAACACGAAAGATTCTTTCTCAAGTGTAATACCTATTAGCTGCTTCTTAATGAGGGAAAGCATACTACAGTCATTTGGACCATGGAAAGCCATATTCCGTTGTGGTCAACACCATCTCATGAAATGGACATTGATGAAAAGAAATAATGGGATCCACCTTTGTGTTTTTATCCTGTCCTGGTGGGATCGCTCTTCCATTGCTGGCCATCATTTCACTAGACTGTGATGACCCCAAGGAACTATGGATTTCCATAGCCAATTAATTTATTGTATAGTTTCCCTCGTAAAAATCAGCATATTTCTCTACCCGTATACAACTAGGCATGCCCACCTAATTGATCTGTTTGTTTGTTCTTTTGTTGTTGAGTATAAAGGGTCATAGTAGAGGTTTTCGGTTGTTGAGCAGTAGTTTTTAAACAAATCTTTAGGTGCAAAAAACGGTCATAAACTTGAAGGATACTTTAGTTCACTGTACTGAATGCTTGAAGGATACTTTAGTTCACTGTACTGAATGCTATTCTATATCGTGACAGTAAGATTTCTTATCAGAACAAGATATAAAAATTTAGTTCAAGAAGGTGGATTTGGCTGGCGAGGAGGGTGCCCAGATACCTGGGTGGTTTTGCACATAAAAAGTGGGGTTGTAGGCCCTTGAAGATATTGCCCATGATTGAGTGTATAGAACATTTGTTTTTATTTCAAAACATTGTTTCACAGTTTGCTGTGTGTATTGTTTTATTATGTAGTTCAAACTTAGACATACATGACTTTGAAACTTGAATTGAACGACTAAAACCTAATAAAGTAGAACAAAACCCTAGCATGCTCGAGTTTATTGATATCTTTTTTAGAATTGAGTTACCCAATCTTAATAAAATGTCAAAAAACTCATTTGTTTCAGATTGCCCCATGGGATTCCCTAGGCAGGCAAATTTTTGTTCATTTTTTAAGAGTTTTGAGGGCCAAAATGCCTTTCAAGTTTTTCCCAAGAGTTCCCTCAGTTCAACAACCTGATCCACCTACTTTCCTCATGTTTTTATGGGCTCAATTACTTGTTTGATTTAGTATGATACTTTTTGCTTGTTTGTTTTTAAATTCTTTCCTCATTCAGTTGAGCTGGTTCCATTTATTACCAATTATGCTCCTCTAGTTTATCCTTCTAGTTTGGTTTATTATGTTTTGTTCTCTTCTCTAGTTGATCCATCAGGTTTGGTTAGGTTTAGAGAACACTGGTTACAGATGTAAGCAGTACTTATAGGCATTTTGGAATTGAAGTGCATTCATTACTTTCGCCAATTAGGAAAAGAAGTACAAGAGCTAAATCACAAGCATAGAATTACAAATGGTATTTCACCCATAAAAGTTTTCCATACACAATATGAGTGTGGAATGGGGTGCTTAGTTCCATTTTTTGTAGCCCTTGTAGCCCGTAAGCGGCATATGTGTTTCTTTTATCTACATCAATACAATGAGTCAATTCATCAAGAAGAAAGTGGTTTTGGAGTGGTGACTCTAATACTGGCTTCTTTCACAAAACTGCCAATTGTAGGCATGGAGACAACACCATCTCTCACCTAACCATCTCGACCAACCTTTTGAGATAGAAGAAGCTATCCTCGCATACTTTAAACAATTATTTGCTGCTCCTATTGGTCCCAGTCCCAGGATGGACAAGCTCTTCTTCCTTCCCTCCCTCCTGATAAAGTGCTTTGGTTGGAAAGTCCATTCTCGGAAGCGGATATTCGAACTGCCATTGACCAAATGGCTTTCGACAGGGCTCTGGACCCGGATGGTACTCAATGCTTCCATTTAAAATCTTCTGGGACGCCTTTGGGCTGGATATCTTTTTGATGAGTTCTATGAGAGAGGAATCATTAGCAGAGCTATGAATGCAACTTTTGTGACCCAAAATTGAAGGACCAAAGCAGCTTAAAGACTACCGGCCTATTAGCCGTGTAAATTCTACCTACAAGATTTTATCCAAAGTTCTAGCCTCTCGCTTGAAGGAGGTCCTTTCTCTACTCATTTCCCCCTCCTAGAGTGCTTTTGTGAAGGACCGGAAAATTCTAGATGGGGCTTTGGTGGCCCATGAGTGTATTCACTCTAGACCCCTAACCAAATTACCGGGTCTCATTATTAAACTAGATTGGGAGAAGGCCTATTACCACGTTGATTGGGGTGTTTTGGATGAAACCCTTTCTAGGATGGGAGAAAATGGAGGAGTTCGATGAAAGTGTGTTACTCTCAACCCTTCTTTTCAATACTTATCAATGGTACACCGAAAGGCTTCTTCCCTTCTTCTAGGGGTCTGAGGCAGGGGGACCCGCTATCCCTTTTCGTCTTCGCTATTTCGGTGGAAGTGTTCAGCCAATCCATCTCTCAAATGTTTGCTGCGCGTAGTATGAACGGGTTCAAGTGTGGTAATCGGGGCCATGTGGTCACCCACCTCCAATATGCAGGTGACACTCTCTTATTCTGCAATGCCTCCACCCTTGAACTTGATAACCTGTTCCTATTTCTTAGATGTTTCGAGTATGCCATGGGGTTTAAAGTCAATTACAACAAGTCCAAGATGATGGGGATTGCGATCGACTACGAAGTTATCAAGTCTTTTGCAGATAATTGGGGATGCGAGGCTGAGCATCTTCTTGCCAATTATCTTGGTCTTCGTCTTTGTATCGGCAAGCCTAAGAAACGATCATGGTCGCACATTATTAATAAGGTAGATCTAAAGCTAGCAGGTTGGAAAGGCCGATTCCTATCCTCGGCTGGAAGGCTTATTCTTATTAAAGCTACTCTGACTAATATCCCTATGTATCGCACATTATTAATAAGGTAGATCGAAAGCTAGTAGGTTGGAAAGGCCGATTCCTATCTTCGGCTGGAAGGCTTACTCTTCTTAAAGCTACTTTGACTAATATCCCTATGTATCATATATCATTATTCCATATGCCTGCAACTGTCTCTGCAAGATTAGAACAACTCTTTCGCTGGGTTTTTTGGTCTGGTGATACTACGAATCACAAGTTTCACCTGATCTGTTGGAAGAAAATTTGCCAACCCAAGAGGTTAGGAGGTCTTGGTATCCATAATTTGAGATAGCACAACTTGGTGCTACTCTGGAAATGGTGGCGGCGATTGGCTACCCAGTCGGACCAGCTTTGGATCGACATCCTTAAACACAAATATGGTCTAGCATCTTATTCTTGGGTTCCGGAGATTAGGGTGAATACTTAGAGCTTCAAGAGTTTGGAGATCTATCTCCTCCTCTCTAGCCTCGTTCAAGAGCCTCATTCGTTTTCACCCTAGAACTGGAAATAAGGTCCGTTTCTGGCATGACATCTGGTTTGGCCAAGTACCCCTTGGGGTCCAATGTCCTCAACTCTTTGCGTTTGCTCGATGCCAAGAGGCTTCAGTGGCTGATGAGATGACCTTAGCCACTGCTCTTCGAACTTGGAACCCGGTCTTCAGAAGAGACCTCACAAATTCAGAAATTTCGATCTTCTCAGAGCTAGCGGCCTCCCTCCAGCTTTGTTTCTTGATCGTCCATGGTGAGGATCGTATTATCTGGACCCCCTCTCCCTGGGGTTTATTCTCAGTCTCTTCATTCTATCAAAAACTCATTGAGCCATCCACTTTTACTGTCTCCCGTACATTCCATGTAGCTCAAGCCTTGGCGTCTTTTGGCCCCGCTAAATTCTAGGTTTTCATGTGGCTTGCCCTCTCTCAGAGGGTCCTTATTGTGGACCACCTCCAAAGGAGAGGCATTGCCCTTCCAAATCGTTGTGTTCTGTGTGTGGCTGCAGAAGCAAGCAATGCCCATCTTTTTATTCCCATTCACTTGTAAGATTTGGGGTAAAGTCCTAAGCCTTTTCCACTACCAATGGGTCCTGCTCGCCAACTCCCTTTAACCTTTCCATGGCTTAAGCGGGCATCTCCCTATGGAAATCTTCGGTGGCAGCAACAGTTTTGGTCCTGTGGATTGAACGTAATAACCAAATTCTTCGGGGAGAACACTTATCAGGGGAAGACCTATTCTCCAAAATCAAATCTTTGATAGTTTTCTGGGCTGCTAACCATAAGAGTTTCACAGGTGTCCCACTTTCTGCCTTTTTCCAAAATTGGGAGGCCCTTCTTCTTTTGTACCTAATCGCATTCCTTGGGCTCCTGCTTGGAGCCCTCCCCCTTGGGACATTTAAATCTCAATTTCGATGGCTGCTCTTTAGGTAACCCCGGCAATTATCAGAGACCATAATGGAGTCATTTTGTCTTCAATTTCCAAGAATATCGACCGTGCCGACTCCAATACTACTGGAGCTCTTGCTTTGCTTGAAGAAGTTAGGCTTCTCCACCCTTTCAGGAATTCCTCGATCGACATTGAGGGTGACTCTAAGAGTGTATTGGTTGGGCGTCTAAAATCTCTCCTATCCCATGGACTCTAGCTCACATTTTTGATGAAATTGAACACCTTTGCAGGGATACACGTGTCTCATGGAAGCATACTTGGACGGAGTCAAACCAGGAAGCCGACACCCTAGCTAAGGACGCAGCATGCTTGGATTACATGCAGACTTTTTGATGGCTCATTTTTTATCGCCCCTTATATTTTAACACTGTAATTTTGTAAAAATGGCCTTTGTTTAGTTTTTACAGTTTTTAGCCTTTGGGGGCTGTTGTATATAGGGTCCGCGTGTGGATTGCCAATTTTTTGTTCACTGTATTCCCCTTTCTAATCCAATACAATGTTAACAGTTTAAAAAAAAAAAAAGTATCGGATATGGTACTCAAACCCAGCATCCACCATCCATGTTTTTCCAAGGACGGTGAGTGATAAGCTGTTGCCCACTTTAATAGCCGCGTAGTTCTTTTGGCGGGAAGGGTTACTTAACTTTGCTACTCATGGAAACCTGTGCGATACATGTTGCATAATGCCATACTTGTACGAAGTGTAGTCTCTGGTCCCTTCTTGCATGGGCTGGAGTATTTACTTTGTAATATCTCTCTCAAGAAATATGATGAAGGTAAGGCTCTATTAAGCTCACGAGTTCTCTGATCTTATCTTGTTTATATGCATATCTCCATGAACTGGGAACACTCCTATGGCCTAACAAATTGCCATTGAACTGGTGCAATCTAAAATAACCCATACATGCGCGTGCATGCATGCACACACGTACAAAAATGTTATCGGTATGCTGCTTGTTTTACCATTTGTATCTGAATAATTTTACTTTATATTTAGGTGAGCATAAAGCTGAAGAATTGGAGGATAAAGAATGGGAGGATCATAATTCAGAAACCGACATATCTGTAGTCATAAATGCTTGGTATGCCGCCGGCTTCTACACTGGCAAGTAAGATTTATTGCAATTATTCCTTTTTCTTTAGCTTATCTATAGGGGAATTATGAATAGTTTTTTATGAAATTTAATGTTGATTATGATATGCTCGAGTTTTAGTAGTCTTTCCCATATACAGATGATAATATGAACCTAGAATATTTTGGGAAATTACATGTCTGTGCATGGTTTGTCTCACAATTGGACTGATTGCAAGCCTAGATGGGTATTAGGGTTTATTCTGTTTTTTTTTTATTCATCTCTCTCTCTCTCTTTAACTCGTTCTAGATTATCAAATCTGATGGCTTGCCCATTTAATGATATACAGGTATTATTCAGAGCAGTCAACAAAGAGGCGCCAACCCTAATACTGTGTTGATGGTGGAATGCCTTTGCTTTAAATAGTTCTGCTCTTGATGGTGGAATGCCTTTGCTTTAAATAGTTCTGCTCTCTGTGTGTGTGTGTGTGTGTGTTTTCGATTTTGGAGGATTCCATAGAAAGAAGATACTTGAAAGAATTTTGGATGATAGGGGTTTTCCCTTACACAATCAGTTGTATAGGAATGGCCCAATATCGGTTCTGTGATCGGATAATTTTTTGTCTTACAAATGTAAAAATGTTAGAACCATGAACGTTAAAAATTGATAGGGCCATGAAACGTAAGACCATGGTCCCTTTTTTTGTATACAAAAAGTTACTTCTCACATGCAGTTTTTCATCTCATTCAATGAGAATTTTGTATTGCCCTTAGAAACTTGCATTTCATTGTTATATTACCTTAAGCCCAGGCTATTTATTGATGTATATATTATATAGGGAAATTTATCGAAGCATTCATGAAAGGTGAATAGTTTAACACATTATCCATATCTTTTTATTTAATTATAAGATACCCATAAAAATACATGATTGTGCTGGAATAATTGCAAATGGGTAGAATGTTAAGTGGTTCATCTCTTATGGGTATTTTAATAAACGTCTTTATATTATACATTGCTATCCCTTGAAGGGCTTAGTTTGGCCAACCAATTTTAAAACCACCCACAATGTTTTGATTGTGTAACCCAAAACAAGAGCATATAAATCCACAGTAATGAGGATCATTACCATCAAATCAATGGTTGGATGATGACGAGAGAAAGCGACCAGTTAGAACATAAGTCACGTTCCAACCATTGGTTGGATGGTGATGATTTCCTCGACTATAGGATTTACACATTTGTATTTTGATTTATGATATACTTTCATCTTTCTCTTGGTTTTGAGAGAACCATCTAAGTTGCATATTTTAGGAGGTAGGATTTCAGTTTGACAATTTGAGTATTTGTGTTCCCTGCATCCGGACTTTTAAATATCTTATCCTCTCCCAAGATCTTCTATCCATCTCTGGAAAATTCTTTCCCCTAATGTTATGTCAAGGCATTTCCCAAAATTGTATCCCAATTCTGTTTGATACAGCCCATTCTCCTTTGGCTTAGAACTCGGATGGCTTTCGGAGAGAACACATGTGGATACCACAAAATATTTTGGGTCAATATCGAAGCTCCTGGTTACAAGGGGTTTAGAGTTGCAAAGAAATTATAGCTTCTTAAAGGGTAAATCTAACAATGAAGGTCTCAAAATTGAGGTAACATTCGAGTTACGATTGAAAACATAACTAGCCAATTACGTATTTTGAATAAGGGAACAAGATGTCGTCAGATAAAATGAAAGTCAAATCTGTGGAAGGGCAATATGAACCAGTGCTTAAGATTGGAAGAAATTTTCTGGCTTCAAAGGTCTAGAGTGAGATGGTTGAAAAGTGGAGATAGAAACACTACATTTTAGGATGAAAATACCCACATATATGTATCTCTCTAAAATTTTGAAATTTAGATAGGGTAATTAAAACAAATTTTTTACAATTAACATATCAAGTAAAAAAAAAATTATCTCAAAATTGAAAAGAGAAACTATAGCAAATTCCGAGAGAGAGAGTGAAACGATCTCAATTTTTTTTAGGGAGTATCTCAAATTTCAAGTTTGTAATTTGAAAATTTGAAAGCCTTGTGAAAGAGTAAGGAATGGGCATGAATGTGGGTTTATGTATTGGGGGTATTTTCATTATAAGTAAACTACTTTCTCATTTATGGGGTTGGATGTAAAACTGAAAGTGTGGTTTGTATAAGGTTGCAACCTTTAAGGTGCACCCTCAAATTTTTTCATAAAATATAATTTTGGTGTAAAAAATTCTTAGGATGGACTTGTAATCCATTTTCATATCTAATTATCAATTTATAAACTCTAAAAATGGTCATATCAAGTATATCTATGAATACATAAAAATCTTGAAAATGAACGGTCCAGATGATATGTTGTAAGATGTAGTATTTTTAGGACACGAAATCTTTATTTTTCATATAATCATACATCATGATATCGAGATGATCAATTATAGGGTTTTTCCAACATCAAAACAACATTTGTCATTTCTAACGGATTTTTTAAGTGCACCTATCATTCTACATTTTAAGGTTGCGACCTTATCTAAACTTTTTCAAAAACTAAATAGCATTAAGTTAGTAGTTTTAAAAGTATTGCGCATGGGCATTGCCTACAAGTATATTTATAATTTTCGTAAGGTTGCGACCTTATCTAAACTTTTTCAAAAACTAAATAGCATTAAGTTAGTAGTTTTAAAAGTATTGCGCATGGGCATTGCCTACAAGTATATTTATAATTTTCGTGCCAGTGATTTCAAAGTTCTATTGTAATATAATAACAATTGTTTCACGCGGATTAGACAGCATTTGTACAATATGCGATCCAAAGGTACAAAGTATCCATCTAAAATGGATGCAAATACGTGATCCATCTAAAATGATAACTAACGGTCTAATTTTTTTTATTATATTATTATTTCTAGTTTTCAAAAATTATTTATTTTTCATATTCATGAGCTTCGTGTTAAAGATTATACATTTACTAAAAATCAGGATAAAATTATATTTAAAATATATATTTATTGCCAAGCCCTCATTGCTATATGTGTAGGCTTGGCTGCATGCTACCTGTATCCATATGATAAAACAATATTCAAAAACCATTTTAAAGCCGTTTGTTTGATCCTAAATTTTAAGTATATATTATTTCCATTCTAATAAACAATCACAAAAAAACAAAATTTGTACACAACCCAAAGAAGTGTTTTTTTTAAGCAAAAAAGTGTTTTTTTAAGCAAAAAAGTGTTTTTTTTAAGCAAAAAAGTGTTTTTTTTAAACCCAATTAACATAAACCATATTAGGGATATACTTAGTGATATACTTAGTTTCAAACCTCAGACCTTAGAAGAATCTTTTTCCTTTTCAAATTTTTTTGATAGCTTTATTATTATTAGACTAACAATGTTCAAAAAGAAATTTGATTTTGAATTCACAGAGACCTAGATCTTGAGATTTATCATGGATGACCTAAATTCAATATTAGAGGGGACTCATTTTGACCTCATATAGAATGCATAATGAGTTTTATCCCTTTTGAAATTGATTATTGGGATGAAAAGTGTTTGTGCACAATTTGGAGTCAATGCCACAACATAGTTTTCTAAGAGTGTGATTTCATTATAGTATAATCAACATGAGATCATTCCCCCATATATATGAAAATATATACAATGAGACTATTTTCACAATCATTATTGACAATTAGATATAAAATCGGATCATAAAAATGTGTCATTTTTTAGACACAAAGTTCAAAATAAAATTTCTCAATTGATGTGACTTTCATTTATTGGTTTTCACACCTAATAGCTATAGGTGATTGTGACTTCCTTATACTAAAAATAAAATAGTCTCATAACATACAATCCCGATATATATAAATGTACAAGCACACACATCCCATTTGCGTACCTTCTTGTACTGAAAATAAATAATTTCATAACATACAATCTTGGTATATATAGATGCGCGCGCACACATATCCCATTTGTATACTATATACGTGGTAGACATGGGAGCATTCACCATCTATTCCTAATGTCGGAATGAGTGGTTTAATATACCTGGGCGAGTGCTAGTCATCAGGACTACGGCTATCTCCAATGCCCACCGAGAATTAATGGTGGACAACACCCATGTTGTACCATACACTGCGAATCACTAGTTATGACAGGGTTCCCCTTCAATCTTATGAAAGACAGAATTACTTAAGGGAAAGAATCACAAACAAATAAAACGTATAAAGGAACATCTAAAAAGTTGCGTTCAATTAATACTTTAGAAAAGTATGTACAGAGAAACCAAGAAAAAAAACAAGCAAATCCACTCTCTTAACACAAGAATTTCAGAAAGCACCCCTCATTTAAGCTCTTACACTTGCAGCAGCTTCCTTGATTTGCTCAATTGTAAAAACCCCAAAAAAATTATCATCCTTGATTGCGCTTATCACGGCAAATGCTACATCGTCCACACTCACAGGTGGTGCCAAGAGTATGTCTGAACCAGGGAGTGAATTCAGAGACTTTGTATAGTTTTCGATAGCTTTCAAGAACTTCTCTAATGGCTCCCCAATCAAATCAAGGGGGATCTCAAAGCCATCCACTCTGCGCTTTCCATATATGAACCCTGGCCTTAGCACAACTCCTGAAGAATGATAAAAGCTTTAGTTTTTACTTCTGTGTGGATGATGTAGTTTTATTTTACAATTGAAATAACTGGTCTGCTTTTTGGTCATAAGCCAATTTCATGATGAGTTAATTGTCACAAAGATTTTCAAAATTTTGATAAAAAACAAGTCTTACAAATGATGAAAAATTTATCAAAAGAATTTTACGAATAATTGAAAATTAAGGAACACAATGTTCTCTAATTTTATAATGTTTTTGTAAATCAGTCTTTATAAACTTATACCTTTATTATAATTTATAAAACTCAAAAAAAATTTGCTAAAACTATCAAGATAAGAATAAAAGTTACGCTACAAAAAAAAAGGGATTGTATACAAAGAGTCTATTTATCTTTGTTACAAGGAGTTCACAATTGCTATTAGCCATTAGATGTCAAATTGGATGGCTTTGTTTCTTGAACTTTGAGTGTAGTCAATAACACAACCACACAATTTGAAATCTGATGGACATGAATGATTGTGACCTCTCTCTTTGTACTGAAAGTAAATGGTCTCTTTGTATACTTTTCCCCCAAAAAAAAAATAATTTTTTTCTAAAATCTCCAGATATTATGTAAAGAGATTTTCAAGGAAGTAGGTATATAAGTCATAAATGGTCATAAGCACACAAATGACGGAGCAAAGAACGCTGATGATGCATGCAGACAAACAGGATATTGTATTACCTGAGTTTGGAAATTTAGAGAGAACCTCTGATTCTGCTTGCCTTTTTCCAGTGAAGTATCCCGAAGAAAGAAGAAATGAAGGGAAATTGTAATCATGCACAGATATCAAAATGAACTTCGGAACTCCTATAAAACAAAGAAACAACACTTAGTACTCATTTTTTTTTCCTTTTATCTCCGTATTATAATAGTGTCTCACCTGCATGGTGGTGGTGTTTTTTTTAAAAATCTATCTTAAATTTTTTTGGGGGGCTGGGTTGGCAGAGGGGAGGAGAGAGAGATGTTACAACAAGTAAAGGATTGCGTCAAGGAGCATGACGGAAACAACGAAATGATATAAGTCAATTAATTACTTTTGTCAACCATTTCCTAAAGGATGATTTCTCTGGCTAGAAAAGTATAGGAGCAATACCAAACTTCATTGCAGCATCTACTGCTGTAACATTGGCCTCCCCATTTATCTTCTTCATTTGCACCTCACTTCCAAAACCTCCAATAGTAGAAACCATGGCGGTAGCACCATTCAGTAATTGTTCCCAATTGGCATAGAAAACATCACCTAGAATTAAGGAGAACAGCATTAACTCACGGTCATAAAGCCAAATATTAAAAAGGAATCATCATGAAGCTGTTCACCAACCCTAGTCTCATAAGAAAAGCAATAGAAAAACATTAAGGCATAATCACTTATCAGAAGAACATGTCCAAATTCTGCATATTATTCTACATACAATCTCATTCAAATATCCATCTGCCCATCATGACATTTATTTGCGATCTGTCGGGCATGCATAACCATAGCAGTGCTAGTTCAGATTGACTCCTCCGCGCATACATTTCCAACACATGCTCTTCGGGGAATCTTGAAAAAAGAATTTCCTTATTTCAAATTTCTCTCGTAGATTGGGATTAAGCAATTCATAGATTTGGGAAAAGCCGAAAGGTTATTTCAATCTGATAGCTGGAATTTTTCATTTGGCATTTCCACGTGCAACTCGCTCTCAAAAAGGGTCCTGAAAAAAATCCCCATGAATGGGACGTTCGATCAGGAAGCCCCTCTTCGCTTCATTCGTGGCAAGGTCATAGTTTCGACCTGAAGTCAGCAACTGATGCGTTTCCCGCTGATTATCAGCGAGCATACCTCAGAGCTTATTCGGGTCGGACATGGCAATAGCCTGGATGATGGAGGGTCTACTCTCCGATATCTTTACCTTTCATTCTGTTAGAGGTAAGATCGGAGCGGTTAGAGAACACTAATTATGTGATAAGATCCACCCTTTTCTACCCTTATTTTCTATTGCACACATTAAATACTGCGGGCACATTAGAAAATTATAATCTGGAATTCACCATCTTTTAAAAGTTCATGACAAGTACCAGGAACAACCATCATTCTAATAACAGATAATTTACAATCTCTATTTTCTAAGAGTTTCTTTTAAATCTAAAAAATACAATGAGCTTTATAAAAAAAAATCTAAAAAATACAATGAAGTTATAAATTATTAGAAAGTTCAGTAGCTGCCCTACCCTGAACATGCATCATATAGCTATCATAGATTATATACTTCATAAATTTGTTAATAAAATACATGTCATGATAGGGTGCCTAAAATGAAATTTTAAATAACAAACATTTCAAAAAATTATATATTTGGGACAAAGGAGATAGAAGTTAAACTTTGAAAGAGGTATATCCTTCAAGAAGGATACACTCATTAAACTTTCATAATTATCCTTAAAAATCACCTTCCAAGACCTATATTTCAATCCAATAGCTTTTAGAAACTCCTATCCTTCAGGAAGGCTACACTAATGCATTAAAATTTCATAATTATCCTTAAAAATCACCTTCCAAGACCTATATTTCGATCCAATAGCTTGTAGAAACTCCCTTCCTTATATAACCATTTGATAATGTGAAATATAACAAATAACTCTAAAATATTTTCTAGGTATGGGCTTCTTATTATAAGAAAATTCAATTAAAAATTTCTTTCATAATCTGCTTATTTGATCTAAATATCATACACATAATATAACTATTTTACATTACCCAAGAAAGATTTTACGTGCTGAAAGCTTTCCATGTAAAGTAAAAAACATTCCTCTTTCTATTTTATAAATTTATATCGTAAGAGATTTTCTAGTTGTATATATCAAAGTTGATAGCCGTGCATGTACCTCTACAGATTTATAAACCTAAATTAGTAGATAACCTAAAACATTATATTCTCTAATATTAAATAAAAAGCATATATGCCATAGAGGACCCACATAACATACAAATCACACACACACACATAAATTAACAGAGAAATGACATGTTTCAAAAACATATAGGGGTATCATATCTTTAGAGCAGCATTGACCAAACACCAACAAGATAAACAAACAAATCAAAGAACTTGGAAGTAGGGGTGAATGCCCTTGGTATCTGGGGCCCAATAATCAAACCTTAGATTCAACATGAGATGAGGTGGAAGTTCAAATATGAATGACATGGTTCCTCTCTCTCATGAATTCTCTTAGGCCCCAGGAGGGTTTATATTGGCTAGCTTTTCAAGTTCTTTGAATCAGCATTGAAACTTGAGAAAGCATTAAGTAACTCAAGACGCCTAACACTAGCTTCAGTACCACGGGTGTGTGTGTGTGTGCATGCACATGAGTGAGAGAGAGAGAGAAAGAGACAGAGGGAGAGAGAGAGAGAGAGAGCATCCAATTTTGGGGTTTGATACAACTAGAGAAATCATTAATTATAAAAATTTTAAAAACTTGAAGCATGCATAAATTTCCGGTTACTAAGAGTACCATGTATGTGTAACACTACACTGAAAAATAATTTTCACATAATTAACTAATTGAGTATTAGGGCTCTAAAGTGACTAAGCATGAGACTGAACAGAACTATGGAAGTGCGCCATATAACCTGAAGGAAATGAGTAATCTGTATAACATGAGAGCATCACTTCCCAAGCCTCATTTCCCTTTCAAGACACCCACGATACTTATACACCCACATTGTATATGAAGAAAGGTATTCAATCCAAGAGAGATTTTCTAGTGAACTGATCGCTCCTCATTGTGCAATCAGCATGTCCAAAAAAAACTAGACTCAAAAGGACTACTAAGTAAATGACCAGACTGTCCTTTATGAGCCATAATTTGCAATAAATAAGATAACAAATGATTACTATGCAACACTACATACATGCAGAGCAAGTAACAGAGAGGGGATAAATTTGAATACTTCTCTAGGGAAAAACAATATGATCTGAAATATCATGACGCGAAAACCAAGTTGAGAATATATCATGCCTGTGGTCCAGGTGACTTGATCTATCCATGACTCTGAGTATGAAGGTCGACCTGACCTGTAAAAATTGTCCAAAATTTGTGATACCAAAACATATGTAAGTTTCAAATAGGTAAAGCATGACAGATGAGTTCAAATAAGAGATAAGCCATGTTTTCCAATTCCGTTTAGTATGTGTCCCATCATGGTATAACACTTACACAAGAAGAGAGCACTTCCCCAATGTGAAAAATTACGAGGTTGTGGAAAAACATGAGCAATCAAGATACAGACAGAGAGACTCAATCCGGGAAAAGCTTTAAATGCACCTGCTCAGGCTGATAACTTCTATCCCATTGGAGACTGCAGCTTTACATATTGCAGAACCAACAAAACCACTGCCTCCTAAGACTATGATCTGTGAATAAATTTATCACAAAATGTCACCGTTGCCTCTCAAGACTAAAGTCTATTAATACAAATTAACATGTATTAAGAAAAGAAGAATCAATTGAAACAAAATATTTGCCGGTACCCTTTAAAGAAGTAGAAAAGAAAACTCTAGGAACAAAGTACTTATCCCAATTCTCACCTTTTCAGTCTTCACATCAGCAACAACATCTATTGGGGTGGAAGAGAAATCCTCCCGTATGCTTTCTGCAGCATATTTGCATCTTATATTGGTCCTATGCAAGCATTAAACAAAAAGTGAGACAATAAAACAATGGCTAACTCTTAAATCTTAATTCAGATTGGATTCTATAATCCATACCTATAACCAAAAGCAAAAAAATCCCGAAGCAAACTTGCTGCAAGAAAATAATATGGGTGAGTTTTGCATTGGGGATGTAAAGTCAATGAAGAAAATAATATGGGTGAGTTTTGCACTGGGGATGTGAAGTCAAAGAAGAAAATAATATGGGTAAGTTTTGTCTTCAGAATCACCTACCATAAAGGCAAGAAACGGGTGACCATTTCATCGAGGTGTGAATTTTTGACACTATATCTTGCAGTTTAAAGTCATGAGATTTAGACCATAAGTCACATGGTTTAACATCGTAAGACTGAAACATAAGTTCTGGGCCTTCCGTATCGGCTACCAAAAAGGATGGAGCGGATGGCCATCCTTCAAGTTATAAAGTTGAGTGTAAGCTTGCAGTTTAACGTCATGTTGCTAGGATGTTACATAACATAATATGAAATGATGGGACTTAACATTCCCTTATAAATGCTTGATCTTAGGACTTAACATGGCCAAAAGATCATTAAAATGTGTGTAAAGAAAATAGTGTTTTAAAATGGGGGATGTGGTTCCAATGCGGTCCATATGCGGGTGCATCACCCCGATGTGGTCAATAAACATAAAACAATTTAAAAAAATCCCAAAAAATTGGTTAATGCATGGAAAAAACATGAAGGTGATTTATGTGATAGTAGGTATCTAATTTATTCATTAATTCCAACATTATTAGTCGTCGGAGACTCTGAATCCCCTGATAGAAGAAATTAGAAATAGAAAGTAGAAACTTGAAACCAACTTTATAGAAGACATTAGAACTATAACTTAGATGACATCATATTATCAAACTTCTGCAAAACAGTGCCCAAGCTAATCCCAATCGACAATCCAACCGAAATCGACACTGTTTTTTCAAAATACATTTCTGCCAAAAACTTTTCCCTCTTTGTTTGATCCAAAACAGCCACATCCGTGGCTCTTTTTTGTGTTTGGGGGTGGGGGGGGGGGTTTGAATACCCCCCAAAACCCTTTCCCCTCCTTTTCACGTGGAAAATGACAAAACTATGCATGCTTGTGGGCACTATTTTTGTCCACAAGCTATGTGGCACATATGCGCTATGTGGTGGGATGTGGCGCATATGTGGGCGCATCCCACCAAAGCGCACATGCACCCCTATGCAATGCGCTTCAGGGCGCATATGCAGCAATGTGGCCGCATTTTAAAACAATGAAAGAAAAATAACACAAATAAGAGATGTGAATTCGAAGACCGGCATATCCCTCCAAACTTTGTGAGGACTTCAAAGATGCATATGCTTGAAAGACAAAAAGGGGGCTTCTTCTTATGCTCTTATGCTGAAGGGAATATGACATGGAGCCGTCCTAGGAACATTTGCCTAGGTAGCAACAAGCAGTTTAACTTCATACAGATTTGACCACGTATGGACAATGCAACTTAATGGGGAATGAGCCACATGTAAGAATCAGTACTCTTGAGCAAGAACAATTATACCAAGCAGTTTAGGATCATGCGGGATGGACCAAGTATTAGATAACTGAAAGCGGCTTATTCAACCTTATGACGGCCATCACGGGTACTATTCTTTCAGGAAGCGACAATTAATACGGCAAGAGATCCTCCCCATCCAGATTTGTGCGGAGGTAGGCATCATTGGAGTAGACCTTCTTTATCACGAACGGGCCTTCCACTTGTCTTCATCATAAGCTTATGAAGGCATGAGTCACATGGAACATGACCCATGAGGCATGAGTCATATAAGACATGAGCCATGAGGCGTTAAGTCACACGAGACATGAGCCATCAGGCATGAGTCGCAAGGACATTAGCCATCAGGCATAAGTCCTATGGGACGTGGGCCAAGAGGAACTAGTCATATAATTCCTGATCATGAGGCAAAAGTCACACCCGACATGGGCCATGAGGCATGAGTCATACAAGACACGAGCAATGAGGCATGAGTCATATAAGCCATGAGACAAGAGACATGAGTGTATTAGACATGAGCTGGGAGGTATGAGTTGCTTTAGAATAGATGTTGGAGCTTCCGGTGGAATTTGGGTCATTTGAGACCCTGTTACCCATTCTCTTACGGCTTCTCACATCACTTCTTTTTCAATCACAGATCCCCTCTTTAGGGTGTCAGATAGCTTCCCCTAGAAACTCACAGCCGTCTACATGCCAAATTAGGACCTTTCCAAGAATGCTCTGTAGGAGGAACTCGACGACATAGCTGCATGTCGCCCCTTGAGATGGTGCTTAGGCGGTGACTTCAACGTCACCAAGTGGTCTTTCGAGAGAAACTCTAATCACAAAATGTCCCCAGCTATGCTAAACTTTTCTGACTTCATCTCTCGCAATGAACTCTTCAACATCCCTACTGCAGGGGCCACCTTCACCTGGTCCAACCACTTCACCTCCCCCCTCTCTCTCTCTAAACTGGATCGCTACCTTTGTAGCCTAGAGTGGGACTCCTCTTTCCTTGGCATTCACGTATCAGCTCTCCCCAAAACTGCCTCCGATCACAAAACCCCTTCTCCTCGATACTTTGCCGACATTTGGTGGGCCCAAACCCTTCAGGTTCAAACTGTCATGGCTTGAAGAACCTGATTTTCACTGGTTGGTCTCACCCTAGTGTGCCTCCTTCACTGTCGACGGTCGGACTGGTTTCTGACTTCAACAGAAACTCCAACTCCTCAAACACTCTCTCAAAGTCTAGAGGAGCTAATTCCCAAGGAACTTCTAAACCCAGAGGTCCCAACTTCTGCACCTCATCCATAAGCTTGATCGCTCTGAGGACTGTTGCCCTCTCAACCCCAGTGAAATTCTTCGAACCCAACTCAAAGCTGACTTCCACAGCTTGCTCAGAAAAGAAGAAATCTACTAGGCCCAAAGGTCTAGAATCAAATGGCTTAAACAAGGAAATGCCAACACGGCCTTCTTTCACTGTATTGCAAAATGCAGAAGAAGGGACAACACCATCACCTAGATCAAGGTCCATAACTTGATCCTCGACCAACCTCAATCAGTAGAGAGGGCAATCTTAGACTTTTGCCAACTACTCTTCTAGGCCCTGGTAGACCCACCCCCACAATGGCCGATTTATACTTCCTCTCTCTACGCTCTGATCGGGCTCTTTGGCTAGAGCGTCCGTTCTCTGAGGATGAGATCCTCAAAGCAATTAATGACCTTGGCCAAGACCATGCCTCGGGCCCTGACGGCTTCCCTATTGCCTTGTTCAAACAATTCTAGGACCTCCTCTACCAGACCTTCTGTCCTTCTTCGAAGAATTCCATGATAGAGGAGTGATCCACTAGGGCTTGAATGCCACCTTCATAGTCCTAATCCCCAAAGTCAAAGGGGCCAATGAACTTAAGACTTCAGACCCATCAATTAGATCAACAACTCCAATAAAATCTTGGCTAAGGTCCTTGCCCCCAGGCTCAAGGATATCCTACACTGGGTCATCTCCCCCCAACAAAGTGCCTTCGTCAAAGACCACCATATCTTAGATGGTGCCCTCATCGCCCATGAGTGTATCCACTCTAAACACAACTAGAAACTTTTATGCCTCATCATTAACCTAGATTGGGAAAAGGCCTGCGACCATGTTGATTGATCGGTTCTGGAAGAAACCAAAGTCAGAATGGGCTTCGAAGCTCGATGGAGGAAATGGATCAACAGCCACATCTGTCATCTCTTTATCACCATTCTCCTAAACGGCTCTCCGAGGGGCTACTTTGCCTCATCTAGGGGCCTCCGCCAGGGAGACCCCCTTTTCCCCTTCCTCTTCATAATCGCAGCTAAGGTCTTCAGCAGGTCGCTCTCCATAATGTATCACCATGTCTTGCTCGAAAGCTTCAAGAGCAGTAACATCGCTGCAACTATTTCTGACCTTCAATACGTCGACGACACCCTTATTTTCTGTGGTGCCTCGAAATAGGGGGTGGATTCCCTACTCCTATTCCTAAAATGCTTTTAGTTGGCCACGGGCTTCAAGGTCAATATGGCTAAATCAAGATGATTGACATTTCCCTCGACCCATTCACCATTCAATGTTGTGTCAAAAAGTAGGGATGTAGGATGGACTCCCTCCTCTCTAAATACCTCGGCTTACCACTTTGTCCTGGAAAACCCAAATTGAGCCAATGCAGTCACATCATCGACAAGCTTGATCGCAAATTGGCTGGGTGGGGAGATTTCTATCCTCAACAGGTAGAATCATCCTTATCAAGGCCACTCTCTCTAATGTCTCCATTTCCAAATATCCTCTTCCACATGCCCGTCTTAGTTGCCCGTTGCCTTGAACAATTGATGCGAAAATTCCATTGATCGCATTCAGGGGAATCCAAAAAGTACTATCTTATTTCCTGGTAACTTGTGTGTCAACCCCAAGGCGCAAGCGGGTTTGGGAATTTGCAGTCTCCAATTGAACAAGTGGCCCTACTCAGTAAATGGTAGTGGTGCTTGACCACTCAGAGTGGTCACTTTTGGCAACAGGTGCTACGCCACAAATACCACATCCACGACTCGCCTTGGGTGCCTTGTGCTAGAGTCAACAGTAGCTCGTTGGGGGCTTGGAGGTCCATTATTCGTTTCCTCTTCCCCTTTAGATCTAGCATTCGTTTTCACCCTCGCGTGGGCAACAAAATTCAGTTTTGGTCCGATTTATGGATTGGGCACACACCTTTAAGGGATCGCTTTCCCAACCTCTTTCACCTCAAGAGACCCATATGCCACAATCGTGGATTTTTTTGAGCCTATTGGCCTTGTTCATTCCTAGAACCCATGCTTCCACAGACAACTCCGTGATAGCGAGATCCAATCCTTTCTCGAACTTTTCGCCCCTTTCTACCTCTCCCCACTAGGAGAGGACAAAATCATCTGGTCTCCTACTCCTTCTAGAGTTTTATCTATGGCCTCTTTCTACCACTATCTAGCCTCCCGACACCCAACAATCCCCTTACCTCAGCCTATTGTTGCAAACGCCTAGATGACTTTGATTCCACCCAAAATTCAAGTATTCAACTGGATTGCCTTATCGGAGAGGGCTTTAAGAGTTGACCAGCTCCGAAGGAGAGGTATAATCACCCCCAACCGTTGTACCTTGTGCAGGCCGATGAAGAGACATATTCGCACCTCATCAGCCATCGCAGTTTTGCATGCCTTTATGGGAAGATCTACTTCGCCTCATCAACTGGACTTGGGTCACTCCTCAATCTATCCCACATCTCTTTCGGCGATCATAATTCCTTCCTTGGCCCAAATCAAGAACCATGCTTTGGAGGGCCTCAGTGGCAGCCACCCTGTGGACCATTAGGAACGAGCGCAATAGCAGAATCTTCCAAGCCCTATCTTCTTCTCCTTGGGCCTTGCGGGACATCATCGAATCCACAGTGATCTTCTGGGAAACCAATCACAACAGGTTCAAGAGCATCTCAGCCTTGAACTTCCTTACCAATTGGAGGCATCTTCAAAAATCGCAAACCCTCTTTACCTTAGCCAAACCCATTGGCCGAGTTGACTCCACCTCGGGTGGAAGCTCTCGCCCTCCTGGAAGCTCTCAGGCACTTCAATCCCTCTTGGAGCTCCTCTTGTAGTGGGGGGCGACTCCAACAACGTCATCACCTGGGTCCCGAGAGAGGCCACCTCCACTTGGTGACTTGCATCAGTTTTTTACGAAATTTTTGACATTTGCAAGCATACACATTTATTTTGGGGGTATACTTGGCGCGAGGCAAACCACACGACTGATGTTCTCACTAAAGAAGGTGCTGCTCTGGCAGTCGTCTAATGTGTTTGTGGCAAAGTTAGGGGCCCAGCTTTTTCCTAGGGTATTTTTGTCCATTGTGCTTGTATAGCATTTTTGGACCTCCCATCGGTTAAGAGGCTTTATATACAGAGCTCCCAAGTTGTGGGTAGCCAATTTTTGCAACATGTAAACTTTATGATCTCAATACAGATGTCAACATAGCTGTTGCTTGTTGGCTTTCAAGCCTACGCTTGCTGGGTACATCGTTAGCGAGAGAGGAATTGAGGCGGATCCAGTAAAAGTTCAAGCAATTGTCAACGACCTTGAAACCTTAAAGAGTTGCATAGCCAACAAATGAAGGGTACAAAGCCCTTTTTTAGTAAAAGCGCTAGTGTGCCCAACCTAGGTTAGGGGCTTCCTTCGCATGCTGGGAGTTTGACTGAATCTAAATCATAGAGAAAAACAAGCTAATGACCAAGAAGAGGAAGTACAGTCAGTTTGCAAGCGAGCTTTGTATTAGCTACTATAGTGTAGAGTGTAGACTGAATCCGAATTCGAAAAATGAAAGGAGAACAAACGAGAAATGAGGAATAAAGAGCTTCATCCATCCTAAGCTTTTGTTCTTACTTTATGTACGGTCAGTGAGTGAGACAAAGCCGGAATGGCGAGTGGGCAGTGGATTGCCTCGATCTTTTGCTATTGCCGGTAGTCCTTTTCTATTGTTGCTAGCGAGGGCTAAGTGTAGGTCTAGTTCAGGGACTCTTTGGTACCATAGGTAGATTCCTTTCCTTAGGAGATTAGGTGGTGGTTGATCAATGAACTAATCTCTTTCAGTATAGGGCGAAGGTAAGGGGCCGTAGTTAAACCCTTTTCCTTTTTAGCGCTAAGTAGGCACTCAGAGCGAGTCAAGTTCAAGTCAGAAATAGGAGGCTCCTTTAGGCCATTCGGAGGTGTATCTTCCACCACAAGCTTCTCATCTTCATTGAGAGATGCGATTATCTATTTAATGAGAAGCAATCCTCCACCACCAGCCCAAGCTTCCTATAACAGATGCAATAATTGGGTTGATCATCTTTTTCAACATCCTTGGTGGTGTAGTGCCAATGGTGTTGTGTTAAAGTTTTTTTTTTAGTGACTCCAAAAATAAATTAGATAAAACAAACTCAAAAGCACACAAACACAAGAAGGTACAACATTTTCGTTACTAGGAAAGTGAGTACAATGACCAAACACTTCCCTTGATTAAAGGTTCGGATACTTTTGACTGGTTAAATGACCCTTTGAGACAAACCGGTTTATATGATACTCCGGCGGAAATTTGAGTAAAGAGAGGGGAAGGGAAACACAAGAAGATCTCCAAAGGGGGGCAAAATTTGCTAAACCCCTACCAGCCTACAAGGTTTTAGGCCTTGGATGGGAGTTGTGACCTATTCTCTCACTTGCCAAAGGCTTTAGGAATGTGGGTTAACTACTCCTTGCTTGGGTTTGCTTCAAGGGTAGTTTTTGTATTTTGCTAACCTAAGAATAGGGTTGGGTTGGAATGGAAAGTAACTATGGTAAATGGACTTGGGTTAGGGTTTCTCTCTCTAGGCAGGTTTCTCTCTAGAATTCTCTACACCTAAACCAAGCAAATGACTTCCCACCTCCTAAATGAGTAGGGTCTGGCCTTTATATAGAGAGGCATTGAAGCACGGGTGGATTATTAAAAAGTATGGGCCATACATAGGTGGATTATCACCTTTTATTCCATCATAATACAAAAGGGCAATTTTATTTAGGTGAAAATGCACAAAATATTGATATCTGCCCTTGAATATTATGTTTTTTTTATCCCCTTTTATAGAGATCACTAAGGCTTCTTTTTTGCTCCCTAAGAAAGCTTATTTCTTGCTCCCCAAGAAAGCCCCTTATCTTTTTATTATAATACCCTCAATCTTTTAAAGAAACATGGTGTGGTGATTTTGACTATCACCAAACCTAACACCATCTTCTTATGGTGTGGGTATTCAGTTTTAGGATTAGATAGAAAAACACAGCCTTGATTTTCAGACCTGTAAGAACTAGGGCTTTCCTTTTTTCTTTTTCCCTTTGTTAAAAAGGTAACTAGGCTAGGGATTTTCAATTTTTATTTTTTATTTTTTGAAAAAGTAACTCAGGCTTTTCCATCATAATGACATTTTGATAGAGGAGAAGTAATATGGATTGAACAGATTGTGTGTGTGTGTGTGTGTGTGTGAGAGAGAGAGAGAGAGAGAGAGAGAGAGAGAGAGAGAGAGAGAGAGAGAGAGAGAGAGAGAGAGAGAGAGAGAGAGAGAGACGAGTACGTAAGTAACGACGTAACGAACGTAACGTAACGTAACGTAACGTAACGTAACGTAACGTAACGTAACGTACGTAACGT